CAGGCTGCGCAGCGGGCGTGGCATATGAAGAACTAAAGGACACATGGAAGACATACCACCCTTCTGACTTAGTGGGCACAGTGGAATGAAGGCTCATCCAGCAAGCCTCTAATGAATGGAGGCTTACCGTATGCTGGAACTATGCTAGGAATACTGGGATTTGCTCCGTCCTGACTCACAAGCACATGAACGAGATCAGAAGCAGGCCAGTGTCTCAGGTGTGATCAGAGTGAGCTTTGCAGTCAGGAGGTCTCTGCATGCAGCCCAGCCAGCATGCTGGCAACTCTGGAAGCTTTAGTTTTATCTGCATTACAGATTCTCCACCAGGCAGTTGTGAGAACTTAGAATCCAGCACACGAACCATTGGTACTGTCACTAAGGCATATTCATTTAGATGGGAGTACTATCATACCCATGCAAACACGGTCATATTAAGTAAGCCTACCTTTCCACCTTGATAAGAGAGGCGGAAAATTGTCTCTGGCAGGGTCCCTCCCTTTCCAGAAATAAGGATTTGTGGGGTGCTGTGGAAACGCTGAGGTAACGTGGCCAAGAGGGTCTGCACAGGAAGGGATGTGAAGACACCAGCTAAGTGGGGAGATGTAGGGAACTATTGCCAGGAGCTTACAGTAGCTTGGGAGAGGAGATGAAAAGAAAACCAGGTTGGCCCCAGCCAAGAAGTATATAACACCACACTGAAGTGAGCCCTTTGTCTGGAAGCAGATCTGGCAGCAAGAAGCAGCCATCAGGAAGAAGGCTGGCAGGTGAGGGAGGGCGAGTTCTGTGTGTGAGGCCCGCCTGAGTGAGGTGCTTGCAGGGATGCAGGCAAGAAGAAACCCGTGCCCTTCTCTGATGGCTATCAAGAAAAGTCCGGGTTGCTGGTAACTCGGGGAGGCTTGAAAGTACAAATGAACACAAGGGGGCCGCCTTCTTGGAGGTGAACCTCAATGCCTTATTGCCTGCCCATCACCGCTTCTATTCTTGCCATCGAGACACCGAGTCTCCTGTGGCCAATGTTAATCTTACCACCCACAACTCCTCTCAAACACTGAGACTTGACTATGTGTGGACGTACCCCAATGGGTACCTTTTCATTCACTGTGTTCTTTCTTCTCAATGCTACCAAGAGAGGCATTGCGTAGGTAGCTTCTTTCTTTCTTTCTTTCTTTCTTTCTTTTCTTTTTTGGTTTTTCGAGACAGGGTTTCTCTGCATTGTTTTGGAGGCTGTCCTGGAACTCTGTAGACCAGGCTGGTCTCGAACTCACTGAGATCCACCTGCTTCTGCCTCCCAAATGCTGGGATTAAAGGCGTATGCCACCAACACCCCGCCTACATGGATTGTTTCAAAACTCTGGAATCAGGAAAAGTCAAGATGGCTCAGTATGGAAAGGTACCAGCTGATAAGCCTGACACATGAGTTCAACCCGAGGCCCACATGGTAGGAGTCACACAGTAAGTACACACACACACACACACACTCACACACACACACACACACACACACACACACACACTTCTGATTCTTGCCCTAAAGACAAAATAAAATGCTGCCAGGCTTGGTGGCACACACCTGAAATCCTAGCACTGAAGAAGACAGAGGCAGGAGAAAATCGTAATTCCAAGGCCAGCTTGAAGAAAGAAAGGAAAAACAATAAAAGGGGACGTGGTCTAGTTAAGTGGTACGTTTGCCCAGCAAGTGCAGAGCCCTGGGTTCTACCCCCAGCACTACAAACAGACCACACTAAAGTGCTGCCCTGGGTGATAGCACTTACCCACAATGTGTGCAAACCTGTTCTATCCTGGCACAGCCACACACCCACACCCCACACCACACACCCACACCACACACCCACACCCATACACCCATACACCGCAACACCACATACACACACCCCACACACACCCCACACAGCCATACACACACACCCCACACCCCACACCCATACACCCATACACCGCAACACCACATACACACACACCACACACAGCCATACACACACACCCCACACCACACACCCACACCACACACCCATACACCCATACACCGCAATACCACATACACACACACCACACACACCCCACACAGCCATACACCACACACACCACACATACACACACACCACACACAGCCATACACACACACACACACACACACACACAGGGAAGGAGGGGACGCGTTTTCACAAACTCCTCTCTAAGTAGTCACTTGTGCCAACCCAGTGCTCCCAAAGTTCTCATCGTCTATAACACTCACTGTGGCTAACAAACGGCTCAGATTCTCAGCTCTGAGTCTCACCTGCTGTCTCCTCCTGCTTTCAGCACTACTCACTAAAACCAAAAGAAAATACAAAAACAGCTCTGTGTGTGCAGTAAATGGCAAGTGTGTACATATTTCTTTCATTCCTGGCTCTGTATCTCACAGAAGCATGAAACTAACCGGTCACATGAAATTGAAAAGCCCAGAGAATCATTTCAGTCCCGAAGCTTACACAAGCAGTTTTCCTCGCACTGACGTCAAAATCAAGAGCATGGACAAGATTATGTAGAAATCAAATGATTATGGCATCTCAGGATACATCTACAACAGAGGTGGGGTTTCCCAGGAAGGTCATTGCTGGGTGTGTGTTATTTTCCTTGCACACTAAAAGTCTGAGTGACACAACTACTTTAACTGCGGGGGGGGGGAGCCTTTTATCTCCCTTAATTAGTTTCCATCCATTTGCTGCTTGCCTTTGAAGTCTAGCTCCATTCCCTATATTCACTCTTCAAAAACATATGCTTCTTTTAGAAGCAAGCAAAGACTAAATAAAGATGGGAGTCAATTGTTAACGTCCTTCTTAACAGCACATACAGACAAATATTCTTACACCTAGCAGGCCTTACACTAAGTGGGCAAAGCTCCAGCATATGTTATTCTGAAAATCACAAGGGTTGGCGAGATGGCTCGGTGGGAAGGCATTGCTACCACGCATGGACACCAGAGTTTGATCCCCAAGACCCACATGGGGGACGAGAAAAAGAAGACTCTGCAGTGTCCTCTGACCTCAACACACTATCTGGGTTCTCTTTGTGCATTTTTGTAATTCTCCAAGTAGATGGACCAAAAACAGACATTCGGCATACTTGCCACTGGAGGGTAGATCTCCATTCCTTTATAAGCACAACTGTTAACTCTGGGCTAGGAGAAGAAATGCCTGCCGGGAAACAAATTCAACCCAGGGGATTCCTGGTGCTCCTCGGAGCCTGGGGTTTTTAGGAGCTCCATGCCTCAGAGAATTAAAGAGGAAGGTGACGACGGGGCGGTCTGATGAGGGAGGGTAAGCATTTCCTGATGCCCTTTTCTCAAGACTTCCCCAGGCCACTCACCCGGCCGCTGGAGGCTGTAAGAGGGGCAAACCCGAGCAAAGGGCACTTTGAACGGTCACTTTAAAAGAAACGGCCTGGCTTCGCCTTCCCGGTTCAGGGATCTGAGCACGTGGGTCGGCAGCCCGTAGTGGCCCGGGGCTGGGGATCGGGGATCTGGGTGGGAGAGCACGCGGCTCCTACCTTCAGGGCTGGACCATGGCCACCCTCCTCCGATCGCGCCTTCCGCCGGCTTGCCGCCTCCTGCGGCCTCTCCCCGCTTCCTGCGGCCTCTCTCCGCTCGCTCGCGCTCGCACCCGCGCCGCCGCAGGCCCCGCCTGCCCTCTGTAGCACAAAGCAGAGCGGCCGTGAGCCTTCCTCCAGGCGGGGCGGGGCTTCCGGGACGCCACGCGCCCTCTGGGCACTCCCGCCGGTGGACTCCGACCCGCAAGCTGCGGGGCCTCAAGACTCCAGGCCCGCCAGAACTCAGAAGAGCTGTGAAGGCGGCTAAAGACACCGACCTCGCGACCACACAACACTAGCACGTCCCGGCGAGGTCTACCTTTTGACACTGCACCCGGAGGATGCAACAGCCAGGGCTTCCTGGAATCTGAAGCCGCGGCCCATCCACGCTCTGGATGACATCAGGGGAGGATGGTCCCATTTCACTAAGGGGTAAACTCGGTAAAGTCTGGGACAATTAAAAACGTAGCCCACAGCTATACTGGTACCAGCACTTAAAAGAATAGTTATTCCGTACTAATAGCGACATTTAACATGGCATAATGATATATACAATGCATTATGTTTTTATATATAGCATCTAGTCTTCACAACTGTATTTTAGATGTAGGTATTACCACATCCATTTCACAGGTAGGGAAACTGAGCTATTTCTAGCCAAGCAACTTGCACACGTTGAAGCACCCAGTCAACACTGTAAGCAGGACTCAAATGCAGACAGGACAGTCTGCAGTTCAGCACTAGCCTGCACCGCCTCCTTCAGTGAGGGAAGGACAAGCCACTTGGAAAATATGACATGTGCGGCACAATTTCAAGGAGTTTCTTACGACCTGGCATGTGAAAATACTTGTGAAGGCATGCAGTTTATTAATATTATCACGGGTCCGAACTCAGATTCGGCACACTGCCATGTATGTGTAAACAAGACCCCTGCTCTACACGTGGTACCCATCTTCTCTGGTAGCCTGCAGGCCACTCAAGTCCCCGTATACTGAAGCTTTGTGGCCCTGGCAGTCCTGAGCACCCTGCCAAGAGTTTACCCTCGCTCGTCCCGCAAAAGACCCAGCCCTCTCTAACACACATTAAATCTCCTCCTCCCCCTTCCAAAACACCACCCCGGAGCTATGCTCTCGGGCCGGTCAGCGACCGTCCCGAGCATCCCGGCCCCCGGCGGTCAGCTTCACGCTGACACGGAGCTTACGTGAACAAGCGAGATGAAAACACCAGCTCTCTCGCCCCGCGGCGTCCCACACCTCCCGCGTGGCTGCGAGGCCTGACGGAAGCAAACTGAGGATAAAGACTGGCTGGTTCCTAGTGGCTCCAGGAAGCCACGCCCTGCTCTTAGTAGGCGGGTGAACTGACAGTGTCAGAATGACACAGCAAAAACCAGTCCCCGTGCAGCCCTGGCGAGCTGTACTCGCGGGCTCGGCAAAGTGAACGCTCCTAATTGGACAGTACCAATTCCCGCGGCTCAGAACCGCCCCGACCAAAGGCTGCGGCTGCAAGTCAGAGTGTTGGGGACCAAACCCTGAAGTGAGTAACCGGCACCTGCCCTAGGAGCTGCTCTCTACATAATCTTACGTCGTCACTTGAGGAACTTTAGAAATACTGACGCCTGGCACCCACACAGATGTTCTGATGGCCTTGGTCTGGCTGTGACCCTGGCACCTAGGTTTTAAAAACTCTGCAAGTGATTTTAGTTGACAACAAAGTTAGGGACGCACTGCCCTAAGGCAATGGATTAGTCGAATTTGGTAATTCCCTAAAGGAAGTTACTGGGATTTTTAAAGCACTATCTACTTCATCCTGACTAACCCTGAAAAGACATGACTAATTCTCCCTACAACACTTCCTCCTTGTCCCTGTCAGGCTTGGGGTTGTCTTGTTCACTCTAAGGGTAACTGAGTCTATTTAGCACTTAGCATAGGGCCCGCCAAAGGTCATGTCCTCTCATGCCTCCCTGCCCCTAGTTCATTGGCAATGCTTGGTGGATAGATGAATGAATCAATGAATGAATGAATGAAGTGTCTGACCCACTACTTTGGCTCATGCCAGGGTGAAAGGGTTGTTGGCTCCTAACAGCTTGAAGCTACACCTCCTGGTAGCTGGGCGGCCTCCTGCATTCCTTCTAGGCTTTTCCAAGGTGAAAGTAAAGAACTTGCTTATATAATGTACACACGCTGCACAGGCTGACCCAACTTCTCCCACACTTCCACTCCACACGCTTCCCATACCTGACTGCGGTGTTGGGACTGTGGCAAAGTGCTTAGCTCTTTGTGGCCCCAAATACCTACTAGTAATTGCACACCTAACTATCAGAACTTTGGGAAAGCAAACCCTTGTTTTAAAGGGGGTAAACTAAACTCAAGGGCTTCACTTCTAATACTTTAGAAATAAAGGGACCAGACCCTCACTCAGCCCCCTGCTTTAGCAGCCATGACAGGCTACAGAAAAGATTCGTAGGCCTCTGACACAAGGAAACTCCAGACCCCCCACCCCCAAGTCCCCCAGCCTCCTAGATGCTGGGTTCCTGGGAACTATTTGGCCACAAAAGAAACTCCAGAGGAGACCAAAACCTCCCCCTGTAGTCTCCAGGATATAATTCTGAAAACTATTGCTATCTATGTACAACAGGCCACCTGCAAGTAACAAGACAATGCCATAGAAACCACAGAATGTTCCCTCTCAGCACTGACCAATGAAAATAATTGGTACACAGGTATTTCATGCCAAAATATGACTTTGAGAAATGCTCCTGATTGTTCCCAAATGTCAACCAATCAGAAACCAACCCATACCTACTGATGTAATCCTGTGACTTTTGTCTTTAAAACCTAACAGGAGACAGGGAACTTCACTCCCTCTGGAGGCTTCTGTGTCAGCTTGCTAGATGGGGTCCCTGTCACGGGTAGATGAATAACAATTAAACCTTGCTTTTGCAGTTTAGTGGGTCTGTCTTCCAGGTGGTCTCTGGGGACTTTGCAACTTGGGCACAACAGTTTGATTTCTTGCCTCCCCAGAATGTGATACAGAGCAGGTGCTCAGAAAATGACTGAAAATGCTTGTCTGTTTCTCAGCTGTCCTCTCAACTTCGGCAGGTGATATGGGTTATACTGCATTAAAAGTGTTCCACTGTAAAACGTCCACCTACAGAGCACACTTGGCTGGAGCAATGGCTATTCAGGCTTTCCTTTGTCTAGGGCCCTTGGGGTTGTCTTTCCGGCTTCTTTATGGCACAGACAAGGCAGACTCACCCTTGGTTCTTTCGTTATTGTTTGTTTTGTATTGTTTGGTTGGTTTGGTTTTTCAAGACAGGGTTCCTCTGTGTAGCCCTGGGTGTCCTGGAACCCACTCTGTAGATCAGGCTGACCTCAGACAAAGAGATCTACCCGCCTCTTCCTCCTGGATAAGACCCTTTAGTCCCAGCACCCGGGAGGCACAGGCAGTCAGATCTCTGTGAGTTCGAGGCTATTCTGGTCTACAAAGTGAGTTCCAGGACAGGTTCCAAAGCTACATAGAGAAACCCTGTCTCGAAAAAACAAAAAACAAACCAACAAGAAAAAACCCAAAATCAAAAAGGACCCACTCTTGTCTCTTGTTAATACTAGCTGTCCACAGAGCCTACACCCTTTCATTGTTGGAGGAACACTTGGAGAGTAAAAGTGATTTCTACTTAAAAGTCAAGGCCACAAACCTCAAGTCTGTCCTCAGCCCTACTCAGCAATTGTTATCTTCAAGCCTGTGGGGAACCTTGGCTGATCTCATGGCAGGTCAGGGCGACCAAGGTGGAGGGAAAAACATGCCAGACAGACGAGTTTTTTAGAAAGTTGTATTAGAAAGAGAAGGGGGGAGGAAAGAGAAGAGACAGAGAGGACTGAAGAGAAGAGGGAGGCAGGAAGAGTCCTGTCTGCCCCAGGGGAACGGAGGGAAGGAGAAGAATGGAAAGAGAGTGTAAGTGGCCGGGGTCTCTCTTTTAAAGGGGTTCTTTGCACCTGAGTGCAGACTACACACGACCATGGCACCCTGGGCTGACCAGGGTACCGCCTGAGTGCATTCTGCCAGGTGACGGGCAGGCCCACATGTACAGTGCCTGAGTCCTCACAGCAATGCTTTCACCCCTTGAGGTTTTCCCAGCAACCATGTCTCACGCCTGACAGCACTGCTTGCTGCGATTCGCCACCACCTGCCCATAGCCTAGGTTCTAGTTAGGCAAACAGAGTGGACCAGACGGAATTTCCCAGTATTTCCCCACAGCCACCAACTACTAAATTCTTTGCTATGACTGCAGGTAGAATAAAAGCAAGATCTCTGGGCTCCTGTGTGGGCTCTCACCAATTCTTGTCCATCCAATAACTTCAGGAAAGATCCCCTCAGGCACCATCAATTCCTTCATCATTTCTATCTTTACGCAAACATACTGTGCTTTTCTTGGTTCACAGAAGCCATTGTTTCCTTCAACCAGGTGGCAGGGGTGAGGTGGCTGTTGAAAGAGCCCTTTGCACTCTGAAGAGCAACAAAGGAAGCCGGAAGGGGGGCACTATCTGAGGGGGCCAGCCTACCGGGGAGTGAAGGCACAAACCACGAGAACGCCTGCAAACTTTCCGAGCAGAGACAAGGAAGCCTCAAGCGGCAGCCTGCAGTACTTAGCCAGCCAGGCAGCAGGGAACCAGGTAGGAAAGAGGCACGGGTCCAGGAGGAAGCTGCTTGGAGGCTGAAGCCATAAAGGCTTGGGCTAGTGAGGCAGAGGCTGAAAGTAAGCACAGGCTTGCCGACAGTGGAATGAGAGATGGCAAAGGAAGAATCTACCATCCCAGATGCTGGGCCTTGGCAACCAGGTGGTGGCACTCAGGGAGGAAAAGTTAGTTTGGCTCACATTCACAGTCCAACTTGAGACGTCTGTGTTCACACGGGCAACTGCATATATGCATCTGGAGCTCACAGTTAAAAGTAAAAATTTGAGCAAAGCCAGGAGACCCGATGTAAATGACATCAATATGTACTAGATGGGCGTGGTGGCAGATGCCTTCAGTCTCAGCACTCAGGACGTGGAAACAGACAGATATCTCTGAGTTTGAGGCCAACCTAATCTACAAAGTGAGTTCCAAGCAGGCCAAAAATAGATAAATAACTAAAATAAAAGTACTGCATAATATTAGGGTTTTCTAGAAAAACAATCTGTGGGATATGTGAGTGTAGGGGAAAGTGAATTAAAAAGAAAGAATCCACTAACAGAACGCTTGCCTGTGATCCCAATGTTCTGGAAGTGAAGGATCAGAAGTTCAAGGTTATCCTTTGCTTGGGAGTTTGAGGCCAGTCAGGACTAGAGGAGACCCTGTCTTAAAGAACTGGCTCACTGACTTTGAAGGCCAACAGCTCTACAATCCCCAGGCTGGAGATTTTAGTAGCACTCTGCAGGCATGGTACTTCTCAGTGGGCCTCTGGCTTCCCTCTGAGAGCCTTGAGGTAGTTAGACAAAGCCCACAAGCACTATGGAAGGTAACCTCCTTTTCTGATTTCAGAGTTACTTACACTTTCAGAGTACCTCCACAGCAACATCTCCTGTCAAACTAAAGGAGTGGGTGGCTATAGCCTGGCCACGTTGACACGTAGTTAAATCTCACACTGTGGCACTAGATGAAATCGCCCATTAGGGAAATGAAGCCCTGAGTACCAAGTTACAGAGGAAAGGAGGAGCCAGGCAAGGAGGAGGACGGGGGATAGGCAGAAGCCAATGAGAGTGCTCCTGTTTAAGGAAGTCTGGAGATGCATTGCTGCTGAGAGACCCTGCGGGCAGAGGTGGGGCAGAGCCAACTCTTTCATCCTAAGACAGTGAGAAGCAGGGAGCAAGGGAGGGGCCTGAAGAGGATGCAGAATGTGGCCAACAGTGCTGGGCCTCTGTATCTTTGTTCCTCTAAGGAGGAGTTGGTTACAGAGTATTATCATATGGACATACAGGGGTAACCCAGACAGTACCCTGTGGCGGGTCCCAAGGGGGAAAGGGCCGCAGACCTCTTTGAACACACGCTTATGTTGCAGTAGGACTTTGAAGTAAAGCCCGGGTTCTGTCTAACTAGAGGCTTCCCAGCTCCCTTATCTGCTTCCCCGCAGATCCTCCATGGTCCTTCCCCGACCCCAGTCATTAGCCTGCCCTCCATCCCTTTAATTACTGTTTCCTCTCAGCACAGGGCTTCGCTGACTCCCAAGCACCCCACAAATCCAGCTCCAACCTGTCTTCCTCGGGGATGCCATCAAAGAAGCCACGTCCTATGAAAGGTGCCACATAACCCAGCAGTCTGCCTGGTACTCACACGTGCCATTATACTTTATTTAGGACTATCTGATCCATGCCAGCCTCTCTAGAATAGCACAGTCTGGGAGAACTTCCACTGTGACAGAGATATCCGTCTGTGCTCTCTTACCCCAGTGCCATGTGACTGGTGAGCTCTTAAAAGACAGTTTGCATGAGCATCGATCTGTTTATTTTGTTTAAATGATTTCAGTGTAAGTAGCCACAGGTGATCAGGGGCCACAATTATCAACTTTCACCACTGTATGCCCAGCACTCAACACAATGTGCACACATAGTAATCACTCAGTAAATATTTGTTCAAAGATCAAATCTGTAAATCGAAGATATTACTAGTTAATTGATATAGATTGTATCTTTTCCACAGAGGGGGAAATATTTTTAGCATGACAGGTGTCGGGGGTCTCCTAAAGTTCTAGAGAGGTGAATGTCACTTGTAAGAAACTCGTTTCTCGGGGGAAGCTGGGACAACCGTGGAAACATACTGACCATCCCTCTGCAGTCTGCTGCGGAAGGGCCCGGATGGTGGTGCATGCTCACACGTGGTCCACAGGCTCCACTGAATACACGGAAGAGAAGCAGACACCGGTGTGCCATCACCGGGGAGGTGACAAAAAGCCTTAGATCAGATCCAGATCCACTTTTCTACAGTTAAGTAATGTCCAGGGAGGAACAGGCCACAAAGTATAAAAAGCAGCATGTTAAAGATACAAAAGCAACGACAGCGGTAACTTTCTGACCAGGGCCAAAGAAGACTATCCCATAGCGTCCATCCTGGGAACTGTGAAATCCCACATGGTGGCCGTGACCACACGAAGACATCTCCTCACACACCTCCCTAGCCTTGTTTCTTCCACCTTGCTTTCTGCACTAAGGACATCTCTTCATCCCTCTCACTTCCTGAGGGCCTCCATGCCAGGGGCTTCACAGCCTCCAACAGTCCTCTCCCACAGTCCTTTGAGAGTCTTAGCACTGTCTGCATCCACAGATGAATAGCTCAAGGCTGGTGACTGGCCTGCAAGCTCACAGCTAGTCTACGGTCCACCAGCCTGCTCTTCCCTCCTGAGGGGCTAACCTGTTTCCCCTGTGCCCGGCACAGTGCATGCCCCCATAGCAGGTCCACACGGCGTTTGCATTCATCTGGGCTTGCATTCTGCGTGCTTTTGGATGTCAGTGAAGTAGAGAAAAGCTTGCAGACAAGGTGAAGGAGCCCTGTCTTGTAGCATTATGTCTGGGGCACAAACACTTACGCTTAAGCTTGTTTCAAGCTACCAGTCTATGCACAGACTGAGTGTCCAATGGTGGCTCTCTGAACTGAGCTCACCTCCGGGTGCCACTGTCCCCTCTTCTCTTCCAGCAGCATTCTCACACCTCTCTGCATCCCCAGGAAACTGTGTCTGCTGTGCTGAGGCCTCTTCACCAGCACTCCTCACTAGTCTACTATTCCACAGAGCTCTGGGCTCACCCCACACTGCCAGGTCCCCTGCAACTTTCTACTGACAAGCAGTGCATTTTAGTAGTGGGGGGATCTGCTACAGTCTGGCCTTTCCGCTAGCAAGCTGTGTGCCTCAGTTTACTTCTCTGTAAAGTGCTGATAAATAATAATAGTCGCTATGCCTTTTGTGGCAGTTGTACAATTCTGTGAGTAAACAGAGAAGGACCAAGAACATGATCGGTATATTAGCATCGTTGAGTTCTTCTGATATGGTGTAAATCTGGAAAGCCACCCCCCACCCCTCCCCACCCCCGTGTATGAGGTCAGTCACTCACAGTCAACTGTCCACAATCTAATTAAAGAGTGACATTCACCTTCTATTCCCAGTCTATGAAGCATGTCATTTTATTTCATTTTTTGAGCTAGAATCTCGCATAGGCCGGAGTGCCCTTGAACTTGCTATGTAGCTGAGGAAGACCTTGATTCTCCTGCCTTCACCTCCGAAGTGATTACAGGTAGCAGGGCATTTTGATGGTATGGAGAGCAAACCCAGGGTTTCCTACAGGCTAGGCAAGAACTCTGCCTGCTGGTCTACCCCCCCCCCCCCCGCCCCAGCATGCGATTTCTACAGTGCACAGCTTTCCCAAGGAGAAAAGAGCCTGCTTTGCTGAGTCACCTTGCTAGGTGTGGAAATACTACCTGAACTTTGTGTTTCCCGCGCACACAAAGCTAAGGCGTTCACACTACTGGAGCAGGCACAAACACACTCCTGTGTGCTGTTCACTTTAGATCTTTCACTGTCCTATCTTAGTTTTAAAAGAAGAGAAACAGCCTTTTGTCATTTGTTTGTTTTTGAGACAGGGTTTCTCCTGTAGCCCCTGCTGCTGCCCTGAATCCTCTCAAGAGCTGGATTCCAGGTGCGAATCACCACATCCAGCTGGAAGATAAAAGGTTTTAATGCAGAAAACTACTAACCTGAAGAGCCACAGGAGGCGTGGGCTCCATTCCAGTAAACTCTCAGATGTCTTGTCTTATAAAACTGGGGATCAGCCACCCTGGCCCCCAGACAGGCAGCCATGTACTAATTACTAATGGTAGCCAGCTTTGGGGGCCTAGAGATCAAAGAACCCTGCCCTTCTGATTCCCACCAAGTGCTTCCCTGCTGTGAGGTACTTGAGACTATGAAGGGCATCTTCCTCCACCTCCTTGAAAATCCCAAACTGCCAACAGCTGACTCCAGGTAGTTGATGGGAGACCATGGTCACCTCCTGAGCCAGAAGGAGCCCTGGAGCCTCCTGATGGGTAACAAACATCTGCCAGTCCAACCTTTTAGCACTGCAACATGATGTGGCCACCTACGAATTTCATGCTCAAGAACCAGGAGACCAAGTCACTTCTAAATTGGTGGGCCCTCATGGTTTCAAGGAAGTTCATGATTTATTATTGGGCCCCATGCAACATGCCTGCCAGGCACTGGTGTTAACTGAGACAGACTAAGGCCTCATAAGATGCCTGTTTTCCTTTCCAGGCTGTAGCTATGGGGAGAGCTCCTGCCAGGCATGCATATGATTCCACAGCAGCCCCAAGACAAAACAGAAGAGCAACCTTCCCGGGAACTCACCGCAGAGAACCACTCATATGTTCCCACCTAGGTCCTTGTAACTCTCTTATCTGTAGACCGAAACTGTTTATTTAATCATCGAAACTCTGGGGAACTCTAAGTCAGTGCAGTAGAGGACACTGGACTACCTGCTACTGTTCTGGACAGGGTACAAAGTTAATCATTAGTGGATTTCGTCCTTCTCAGAAGAAAGACGTGTGCTAGGTCTCTAGTCCAGCATGCAGTCACTGTCTTTCCAAAAAGACGAAGCTCTGTTACATCCAGGCCACACTGCAAGGTGTCTGCATTCATGGTTGTTGTTGTTTAAGTTGTCTGGTTTCTGGTTTCCGTTTCTGAGATAGGAGGCTCACGTGTTGCCTAAGTCAGTCTCAAACTGAAGTGCAGGTGACCTCTGTGCCCTAGCCTCTGCTCCTGGCTTATACATGCAGTTGAAATAGGAGATGTACATGACCTATATGGAAATTGTTGTGCCGTCTTTTCAGATGAACCAGTCTGAGGCATCCACAGGGAAATACAAGATGCTATCAACATCACTAACTGGACACTGGGACGGGGAGTACAACGTCCTAAGAGATTTCATTTCTCAGTCTTCCTTTGGCATCTACATGGCTAAGTGACTACACTTTGGCTAGTTAAGTCTAGGCAAACTGTTATGTGTAACTTTCGGGAAATATTCTTACATGGAACAGACATGTTCTCTCTCAGTGCTCTTCCCAGTGATTGCCAGTTTGGGTACCCACCTTATGCTGAGAGCTAGGGGAAGTCAGATTTCCGGTGTTAGGCTACTGCTGTCTAGACTTATTTCAGGAAAGAAAAATGGGCTTCTACTACTTTAAGCCATTTTTGTCTGCGGTGTGAGGACATTCGTGGCCAAACTAAAGCATAAGCAGACCACGTGTACAACAGTGGAGGGAATCTTCAAGAGGACTCTCCTCACTGTCTCACCACACAGACTTTCCTCCCATTCTACGTCATCCCAAAGCGTATCTGTAGATTGGGCCTTCTCAAGCCTGTACCCCAGCTCACCCGGACATATGCAATTACCCCCTATAAAGATAGCTGCCTTGGACACCCACAGCATGGCCAAGACAAAACCACTGTGTCCCTTAGAAGTCAGTCTCTGAGACAATGGCACCACAGCCCACACTTCATGACAGAAACTGGAGCAACATCCTGGATTTCCCCCATTTCTTCCACCCCAGGTTGTGTATGAGGAGATGGCGAGGTGCTCTTGCAGAAGGACTGAACCGGCTGTGGTTCACAACTGCCTGAAGGGCCCAGGGAGAGGCCTTTGGCCTCCACAAGCCACCTGTGTCTACATGCACATACCCCTCCTTCCACACACAGATAGATACCCATGTGCATCCCATAGTTGCAAAAACTTAACTATTTAAAACCTTCCTCCTAAAGAGAAACCAGAAATGACGCACTTCTACTTACACAGTGTCTAATACACTGGAGGACAGGAGCACAAACACCAGGACTTTTCAACCCTTCTTCTGTGCTTTAAAAATAGGTTCATTTTATTTTGTGGATATGCATGTTTTGCCTGCATATATTCATATGACCACCTGACTTCCTGGTGCCCATGGAAGTCAGAAGAGGGCATCTCACCCTCTGGAACTAGAATTCTGAGTCACCATGTGAATGCTGGCAACAGAACCCGGTCCTCTGTAAGAACAAGTGCTTTTAACCTCCTTTGCTTTCTAAAGCAAGATGTGACATTTCACAAAAATCTACTCTACATTTATTTTTCTCATGAAACATTATATGTAGAAGATTTCCCATGCTATTAAACTTCCATGAATCATTTTTATGGATGCCTGACATCACATGAGTTAGCAGCTACTGCTATAAGTAGGTGTCAGGAACTGCGGTAGGCATTTATACACACCTCATCCCATCTCTATGTACAGATGAGGAAGCGAAAACTCAGAATCCCTCCACTTGTGACTATGACTAATGATCACAAACAGCAAGACTCACATCACCTAAGTACAAGAAAAGGCCTTCACTGTTTGCTAGACCAATCGACTAGGACATCTGCTAAATAAAGTTTATATTATGAAAATCTTAATCTAAATCTGCCCAACTGACAACATCTGGAGAGGGGGCATTAACTACTACATTATATACAACATTCCCTTAATTGGAATCTAAAACTCAACCATAGTGGATGGATGGCCGAGGCTGCCCCTCAGTGATAAAGCACTTGCCTGCCATGTACAAGCTCCTGGGTTTGACCCCAGCACCACAAGAAAAGAAAACAGGCAAAAGAACCTAGATGGGTCACACTATTCCCTTTTGGCATGAATTGGGCCCCAATTCTATTCCCCACTGTGGAGCAATCCTTGTGAGAAATGGGAGAGTTGTTTTCAGAGACACTCCTTGTACCTTTTGAAAAACAGCAGTGTGCCCAGAGGAGGAGGAGCTGTCTGAATTCTCACGAGTGCCATGCAATCACTGACATCCACCCTCTTCATCCACTCATGGAAGAGCAGACCACACACCGGAGAAGCAGAGGCAGGAGGATTACTACAAAAGGAGCTCAAGTCCAGCCTGGGTTACAATGTGAAACACTGTCTCAAAAACAAACAAACAAAAAAACACAGACAAAAATAAGCAGAGCACAAACCAGGGTCCCAACAAGAGTAGCCATTATTCCCATGAACAATACTAATGCAGCTGTGTTGAACTGTGTGTGGAGGGGCTGGGGGCTCCACTCAACCAGGCCCTGTACTCTGCAGGGTTATTCCTCAGTGCTGAGTCCCAGCTGGTGCTGGGTACATAACCTTGAGTGACTTATTTAACTCTTTGAGATTTCCTTATCTGTGACAGGGAGGTGACAGCAACCTGTGCCTCACAGAACTATGAGTCACTTTGTCAGTGCTTATAGCTTTACAGCAGGGCTCACTGTTTAGGGTTCCTCCCTCTATTGCTGGTACTCCACAAGGAGCATGACAAGCAGACAAAGAAATGGAACAGAACACAATTCCAGCCAGGCACTAGGACATGAGGAAACACTATACCTCATCAATAATCCCAGAATCACAGCTTTTCACCTCTCAAGTTGGCAAGCAATACTACTTAAAAGCCTGCTACTATTTCTTACTACTCACTAGATTCCAAAAGGCCAATGACTTGTAGGGTATATATACACGCCAGCTCCACACTTCAGAAATGTTCATACTTAGATTTAGAAAAGTGATTTGTTCCAGGGTCTCTCTGTGTAGCGCTGCCTGTCCTAGTACTCGCTCTGTAGACCAGGCTGGCCTCAAGCTCACCTGACTCTGCCTCCCAAATGCTGGGACTAAAGGTGTGCACCACCACTGCCTGAGGGAAGTAATACTTACTACAACAAAAATCTACATAAAATAAACTACTTTGTAAGTGTTACTTTGTCACATGAAAAAGAAAATGACATAAACTGGGCATGCTGGCTCACATCTGTAATCTCTGTACTTGGGAAGGTGAGGCAGGAGTATTAAAAGTTCTAGGTGGGACTGGGTGTTATAGTGAGAACCTGTTTCAAAACCAAAAGCAAGGGCTGTGGCTGAAAGCACTTGCTGCTCCTCA